GTTTCTAAAAGTTTGGGGATGCGATGCTTATGTCAAGAAACTTCAACCTGAAAAGCTCGAACCCAAGTCGGAAAAATGCGTCTTCATAGGATACCCTAAGGAAACCATTGGGTATACCTTCTACCTCAGATCCGAAGGCAAGATCTTTGTTGCCAAGAACGGGTCCTTTCTGGAGAAGGAGTTTCTCTCGAAAGAAGTAAGTGGGAGGAAAGTGGAACTTGATGAAGTACTACCTCTTGAACCGGAAAGTAGCGCAGCTCAGGAAGATGTTCCTGTGGTGCCTGCACTGACTAGAGAGGAAACTAATGATGAAGATCAAGGTACTTTGGATCAAGTTACTACTGAACTTCGTAGGTGCACGAGGACACGTTCCACACTAGAGTGGTATGGCAACCCTGTCCTGGAAATCATGTTGTTAGACAACGGTGAACCTTCGAACTATGAAGAAGCAATGGCGGGCCCAGATTCCAACAAATGGCTTGAGGCCATGCAATCCGAGATAGGATCCATGTATGACAACAAAGTACGGACTTTGACAGACTTGCCCGATGATCGGTGAGCGATAGAAAACAAATGGATCTTTAAGAAGAAGACGGACACGGATGGTAATATTACCATCTATAAAGCTCGACTTGTCGCTAAGGATTATCGACAAGTTCAAGGGGTTGACTACGATGAGACTTTCTCTCCCGTAGCGAAGCTGAAGTCCGTCCGAATCATGTTAGCAATTGCTGCATACTATGATTATGAGATATGGAAAATGGACGTCAAAATGGCATTCCTTAACGGCCATCTTAAGGAAGAACTGTATATGATGCAGCCGGAAGGTTTTGTCGATCCTAAGAATGCTAACAAGGTATGCAAGCTCCAGCGCTCCATCTATGGGCTGGTGCAAGCATCTCGGAGTTGGAACATTTGCTTTAATGAAATGATCAAAGCGTTTGGGTTTATGCAGACTTATGGAGAAGCCTGCATTTACAAGAAAGTGAGTGGGAGCTCTGTAGCATTTCTCATATTATATGTGGATGACATACTATTGATGGGAAATGATATAGAACTTTTGGAAAGCATAAAGGCCTACTTGAATAAGTGTTTTTCAATGAAGGACCTTGGAGAAGCTGCTTACATATTAGGCATCAAGATCTATAGAGATAGATCGAGACGCCTCATAGGTCTTTCACAAAGCACATACCTTGATAAGATATTGAAGAAGTTCAATATGGATCAGTCCAAAAAGGGGTTCTTGCCTGTGTTGCAAGGTGTGAAATTGAGCTCGGCTTAATGTCCGACCACGGCAGAAGATAGAGAAAAGATGAGTGTCGTCCCCTATGCCTCGGCCATAGGGTCTATCATGTATGCCATGCTGTGTACTAGACCTGATGTAAACCTTGCCGTAAGTTTGGTAGGAAGGTACCAAAGTAATCCCGGCATGGAACACTGGACAGCGGTCAAGAACATCCTGAAGTACCTGAAAAGGACTAAGGATATGTTTCTCGTATACGGAGGTGACGAAGAGCTCGTCATAAAGGGTTATGTCGACGCTAGCTTTGACACAAATCTGGATGACTCTAAGTCACAAACCGGATACTTGTATATTTTGAATGGTGGGGCAGTAAGCTGGTGTAGTTGCAGGCAAAGCGTCGTGGTGGGATCTACATGTGAAGCGGAATACATGGCAGCCTCGAAGGCAGCGCATGAAGCAATATGGGTAAAGGAGTTCATCACCGACCTAGGAGTCATACCCAATGCGTCGGGGCCGATCACACTCTTCTGTGACAACACTGGAGCTATTGACCTTGCCAAGGAGCCCAGGTTTCACAAGAAGACCAGGCACATCAAGCGTCGCTGCAACTCCATTCGTGAAAATGTTCAAGATGGAGACATAGATATTTGCAAAGTGCATACGGATCTGAATGTCGCAGATCCGTTGACTAAACCTCTTCTGTGAGCAAAACATGATCAACACCAGAAACCTATGGGTGTTCGATTCATCACAATGTAACTATATTATTAACTCTAATGCAAGTGGGAGACTGTTGGAAATATGCCCTAGAGGCAATAATAAAATGGTTATTTTTATATTTCCTCGTTCATGATAATTGTCTTTTATTCATGCTATAATTGTGTTATCCGGAAATCGTAATACATGTGTGAATACATAGACCACAACATGTCCCTAGTAAGCCTCTAGTTGACTAGCTCGTTTATCAATAGATGGTCACGGTTTCCTGACCATGGACATTGGATGTCATTGATAACGGGATCACATCATTGGAAGAATGATGTGATGGACGAGACCCAATCCTAAGCATAGCACAAGATCGTGTAGTTCGTTTGCTAGAGCTTTTCCAATGTCAAGTATCGTTTCCTTAGATCATGAGATCGTGTAACTCCCGGATGCCGTAGGAGTGCTTTGGGTGTATCAAACGTCATAACGTAACTGGTTCACTATAAAGGTATACTACAGGTATCTCCGAAAGTGTCTGTTGGGTTGATACGGATCGAGACTGTGATTTGTCACTCCGTATGACGGAGAGGTATCTCTGGGCCCACTCGGTAAGGCATCATCATAATGAGCTCAAAGTGACTAAGTGGTTGGTCACGGGATCATGCATTATGGTACGAGTAAAGTGAGTTGCCGGTAACGAGATTGAACGAGGTATTAGGATACTGACGATCGAATCTCGGGCATGTAACGTACCGATTGACAAAGAGAATTGTATACGGGATTACTTGAATCCTTGACATCGTGGTTCATTTGATGAGATCATCGTGGAACATGTGGGAGCCAACATGGGTATCCAGATCCCGATGTTGGTTATTGGCCGGAGAGTCGTCTCGGTCATGTCTGCATGTCTCCTGAACCCGTAGGGTCTACACACTTAAGGTTCGGTGACGCTAGGGTTGTAGAGATACTAGTATGCGGTAACTCAAAAGTTGTTCGGAGTCCCGGATGAGATCCCGGACATCACGTGGAGTTCCAGAATGGTCCGGAGGTGAAGAATTATATATAGGAAGTCCAGTTTCGGCCATCGGGAAAGTTTCGGGGGTCACCGGTATTGTACCGGGACCACCAAAAGGGTCCCGGGGGTCCACCGGGTAGGGCCACCTATCCCGGAGGGCCCTATGGGCTGAAGTGGGGAAGGGAACCAGCCCCTGGTGGGCTGGTGAGCCCCTCTTGCCCCCTGCGCCTAGGGTTGGAAACCCTAGGGGTGGGGGGCGCCCCACTTGGCTTGGGGGGCAAGCCACCCCCCTTGGCCGCCGCCCCCCCTTTGAGATCCAATCTCTAGGGGGTCGGCGCCCCCCCCCTTGGCCCCTATATAAAGAGGGGGAAGGGAGGGCAGCCGCACCCAAGTCCCTGGCGCCTCCCTCTCCCTCTGCAACACCTCTCCCTCTCGTAGAGCTTGGCGAAGCCCTGCCGAGATCGCCGCTACTTCCACCACCACGCCGTCGTGCTGCTGGATCTCCATCAACCTCTCCCCCCCCTGCTGGATCAAGGAGGAGACGTCTTCCCCAACCGTACGTGTGTTGAATGCGGAGGTGCCGTCCGTTCGGCACTAGGATCATCGGTGATTTGGATCACGACGAGTATGACTCCCTCAACCCCGTTCTCTTGAACGCTTCCGCATGATCTACAAGGGTATGTAGATGCACTCCTCTATCTCGTTGCTAGATGACTCCATAGATTGATCTTGGTGAAGCGTAGAATTTTTTTATTTTCTACAACGTTCCCCAACAGTAAATATACAGCAGCTAGCTTTACCCACAGTTGTTGGTTGACTGAAACTCACTATCGCATTGTAGGCAGAGAGCAGCCTCATCCATGTTACAGAACCCAAAGCTAAGAAGTAGCATGAAAACAAGAACAACGTAAAGATGACCACTCCCAAGAGAACTTCTGTAGATTGTCACACGCCAGCTTGTCCAAAAGGTGATCACAACAGCAAGAAACTCCACGCTATCGAAACCACTATCACTTTAAAATCGGAAAGCTGATCTGACGATGACTTGATCGAATCTGAAAAAATAAGACAAAGAAACCTCAGACATCGCAGAAACTTCTCAGACCAATTTGTGCATACTGAAGAGTTTACGAGCTTAAAGTAACAAGCTACAGGTAGTTAGGTAGTATCACAGGGAATATGCAGAACAATATTTTCACATTGGTAATATTCACCTCAACTGAATTTGAAACATGTGTGACTGCAAGCACTCAACTTTAGTGTGCTTAGCATTGTAAATTGCAATACAGGTTGGAACGCATAGCCATACTGGCCTGAAAATAAAGAAATGAGTCATGGAAAACTTAGCCTTAGGGAATCGGCACATTCATGTTGCAGGAGTTCATATACACCTAGAAACCTAGCAGTATAACAAAGCTATAATTAAATTGAGAAAGAAACTAGGTGCGCTGGTAGCAAGAACCAACAGAAACCATCCCAGTATGAAAACTGAGGCACAAAACAGGGTGTCCAAATCATTAATTACTAATACACGATCACCTGAAACCTCCATAAGTTTCAGTCAATCATCTCACCCATATGGTTTACTTTGAGATTAGTAGAATGACCATGATATGAGGCTCAAAGATTGCTGGAGATTAACAGGAATAAAGAAGGTTTTCAGTTGCTTGTGCAATGAGAAGCATTCCCTTGACCTTTTGAGGCTGATTTCAGGATGTTGAGATAAAATTTCAGTTGCCTGTGAGCACAAGCTGTTCTTATTTAGAGCAGTGACCCATGTTCTTATTTGTGACAGCAGCAGTTATGCAGGTTTATCTTAACAAAACATTGTGATATAAAATTATAAATGTGAATAAAAGAAAACAAAATAAGGAACACAATTATGTTCCCGAGCTTGCAATTATCCCACGAGCACAAGAAACTAGACACTACTAAATCAAGTAAACAATAGTCATCAATTGCAACAAGAAAGTAATCAATGAACAAGTCGTGTGATAATTAGGAAGGGAAGGAGTTAACTAGGATGCGAATGAAAGTTTACCACTTCAGATTTGCGTCTGAAGAGAAAAATGATGGCGGGAAGTAGGTATATATGTGTGTCCCCGCAAACTTAAGCCTGTTATAATGTGAATAAACCCTCTGAAGATGCAACGTCTTGACGTCAATCGAAAAATATTCAAAGAGTGGGTTCTCTTGAGATATGTCTGCTGTCCTTGTCAATAGCAAATACCTTCCATAATACCGGTAACCAGAATCTAGTGAGATTATCTTCTCCATATGCCACTGGCTGGGATTCTCGCCTTTGTTCTGTGCAAAGGTATAGGTAAGGTCAGATGCAGGTTGACCATGGAAACCAAACATCCCAAGCCTGCCTTCCCCTGCCTCCACAACGGCAAAACCTTCCTTTCTCCATTCTCCAGGTGGGGGGACAACAATGGAGAACTCCATCCTTCTTGTGTCAAGCATGAGCAACGTTTTCCTCCAGAACAGCGTCCAGTCCCAGTAGAAGCACCCATAAGCATAATGGTGCCTGAGAAAAAGAGGGTGGACCTGTGACATCATGCCGGACTCGCTGCTGCAAAGGGCCAAATCACTCCAAGCCTTGGATGCAGCAGCTCTCCATTGTCCGGTGCTCGACGAGAACACGAAGGCGGACAGCTTAGTTTCGCAGTATGCCATCCACATCACTTGGAATGATACCAGCAGCAGCTTCGTCCTCATCGTTGCCGACGGGAAAGAGAGAAGGCTTGCACCGACATCTGCCTACCGAAGCGGCTAGGTCGTCAGGTACTGGGGGGAGCACGAGATACCACCGGCGCGAAGGGTCGCACACTGCCAACTCCCGGAAGATCGGGGTCACCTCGCCCGTTTTTGGCCCGCAATGGAGGAGGACGCGGCCGTCGCGGCAGTCCTGGAAAGTCCAACGGCAATGCGAGGGGAGGAAGGAGAAGGAAAAGTCGGCGGCGAGGGCGAGCGCGCCGGCGGCGGGTGCGGAGGGATGAGGTGGTAGTGCTGGATGGAACCCGTCGCGGTCGAGGAAGCCGAGGAGTGGTGGTGCGTGGACGCAGCGGAAGCGGCGGAGAAAGTACCGGTCGAGGCGAGTCGGCGAAAGGTGGAGCAGGCCGCGGAGGTGCGGGCGAGGTCGGCCGGGTCGGGCAGCCTGAGGAAGATCTCCGCCAGGAGGTGGTGGGGGATGTCCGTCAGATGCAACGCGATTTTCTTGTTGCCGGTCGGCGTGGGCTTGGTGTGGGGAGAGTCGCTGGGTTGTCCGCCGGCGACGGAGCCACAGCCAGCCGCCGGGAAACCCTGGACGAGATGGGAATGGGGAGGAGGCGTCGGCTGTGTGCATTAGTCGAGTGAATTTCTCTCTGCTGGGCTGCTGGATGCCGAAACGGCCCTCGGCTGGCAATAACGGGCTCATTTTCCTGGCCCAGCAAATGCCAAACATAAAGTTCAAACTTGAAAGTTGAAAACCATCCATCTCAACAAAAAAGAGTTTGTCTCAAAAAAAAGTTAAAAACCATCCAAACTTTAGCTGTACGAACCCGATAGTTTTGCGTGATATACAGAGGTGCCGTGGGGGCATGCGTGCTTGCAGAATACATAGGCCTACGGTGAGTTGAGTATTTGCCCGAACACGATATATGTGGTGAGCGGATTCGAATTTGCACACATGCTACTGGGGCTAGGCCATTGGGAATAATAAACTTTTTTTTGCAAGGGAATAATGAACTTGTTAGGTGGCTGTGGTGGCCGGATTTTTCAAAGTACATGAACAACTTTTAGAAATACAGAAACATTTTATTAAAATACGCAAACACTTTCTTAAAAATACATTAATATTTTTCTGAAATGTATGCTCATTTTATAAATATGCCATGAATAATTTTAATTCATGGTACTTTTTAATTACACAATCAGTGTTTTCGAAAAACACAATGACCATGTGAAAAACACACGATAAAAAAAAATTAGTACATGACGTGTATTTTTTTTATAGACGTGAACTTTTTGGAAATGTGATGAACATTCTTAAAGTACAACAAACCTTTTTTAAGACACAATGAAGACTTCTTTTTAATACACGATGAATATTTGTTAATAAAACACATGCAGGCTATCTAAAAAAATATTAAATATTTTTAAAGTACACGTGAAGATTCTTAATACACGACTTTTTAAGAGAGAACGAATATTTAAGGCAGTAGCACAAGCCCACACACGTAGATGGAAACTAACTCAAACAAGTATTACTCTGACCGGACATATCAAACTGATTAGGAAGGACTAGTACTACTCAATGTATAATTTTATTTTCTGAAAGGAGAGACCTCAGGCTCTGCATCGACGCAAATTGTGCACCGTGTATGAAGAAGGGTGCACTGAGAGGGATATGACACATGGTTGTCCCATACAGAAAGGACCAAACACCAAGCATTGTGCTGTCAGGGCAGACGAGGGTGCTAGTGGAAGAGTTGGTCTTCCACTAGAATACTTGGGTTAATTACTGTTAAGAGAATACTGCATAAACCCTTGATTCATTGCTTAATTAATATGGGGCACAAGTCTATATTGGTATGGATAACTTGGCTCGAGAGAAACTAATCCTATTTTTTCTTAACAAACTGTGTGATATCCCTGACTGCATTTCAAGATCTTAACATCTAGTCCTGCCAAGAGAGAAGAAAAGAAAACCAGAATGTCTCTGGAACAAAGCTAAATGAGACTCAGCCCTATTTCAAAATTCAAAATGAACAAAAGCATACATAGCTAGCACCTCTTATAACCAACTTGCATAATACGCGTGGAAGCTCGGGAGTATCTGCTTCGGAGTAGGACTGATAGAAAGCAACATATCTTTATTGTCCATCCTGACCCCTATAAAAATCAAGTGGAAGTCAGACCGCATCAGAGATATTTTATTCGATTTTGAGGCTTTGTCTTCCTGATCGTAAAATATAATATTAGATCTACTTGGGTTGTATCACACAAAACGCAACATTGGTCAGAAATTTACAGTCAGGTTCTTAGAGCAAGGATGATTCATCATCTTGTCATTGGTCTGAAAACTATCTTTCTGTATATACTCCACATGTATAGATGGATACAGGGTTGGTAGATGGCATAGCATTGGTGAAGCTCTTTCTCATCAGCTTCTCACACCCCATCAGCATCTTCAGGGGATTTGATTTGGGCCCCAGCAATTAAGAAAGGCCAGCGAGCGTTGTTGGCCTGAACCTGGCGCTCATACCGCGACATGACCCTGCCGTCGCTGCCGATGTTGGCTTCCGCGTCGTCCTGCGAGTGGTAGCCGTCCGACACATCCCCATCCGAGTATTCCACTTGGTCCGTCGGTGGCTTGGTGGACTCGATCCACGCCAGGAACGCTGCCCCCTCCTCATCCCGCTCCAACTCCACCTTCCTCTTGGAGCCACACTTCTCCGCCTCCTCCGCCTCCGCCTTGGCGTCGAGGAACGCCTCCTCCTTCTCCAGCAACGCCAAGAACTTGATGAGCGCCTCCTCCTCCTCCTTGGTGAGGGTCTTCAACTCCACCTTGGCCTTGACCTCCGGTTTGGCCTTCTCCTCCTTGGCCTTGGCCTCCTTCACCTTGGCCTTGACCTCCTGCTTGGCCTTGGCCTTCTTCGCCTCCGTCCTCAACTTGACGGTGAAGGCCTCCTGCTCCGCCTGGAACGTGGTGAAGGGGAAACCCTCCAAGCAGGCGGGGAACGGCATGGAGAAGTGCATCTTCTCGACGGCCATCGCCGGATCCGCTCCTCTCCTCTCCTGGTTGCTTCAATTAGGGTTAGGGTTTGGTGGGGATTGGGGATTTCTCGCTCGCTCGATTTTCTTTCTTCTCAACCAAAACGGGGCAAGGGGGTGGCGGCTGGCCTATATATATATCTATGTTTCCAGGCCAAACCTAGCTTAGCCTCGGCTCCGAGTCAGGCCTCCGGCCTCTTCCGTTCATTGGGCTGGACTGGGCTGGGCTGGGCAGCAGCTTTGTTCTTTTCTTCTTCTTCTTCTTCTTCTTCTTCTTCTTCTTCTTCTTCTTCTTCCAGAGAGACAGCCAGAGATAATTCAGACTTTGCTTTGTTGGGCCAGTCAACCTTCTCGGAAAATAAATAAATTATATTTGGTTGGGATTTTCTCCCAATGCCATGCCACTGCCATTCACATTTTTTATTATCAAAACATGAGCATTTAAGTTCCTGGAGCATGTACATTTTCAGATTTTTCGGGAATTTCTTTAAAAGTATCACAATTGTTTTTAAAAGTGATCCATTATTTAAAAAAAACGACAACATTTATTTTTCAGAAAAATTGCAAACATTTTTAAACTTGTTATTAAGATGATTTTCATCCATTTTGCAAGAAAACAACAAACATTACGAGGATTTAGATCAATTCAAATATCAAAATAGTCCAACTCGCAGGACTACCACAAGTTACCTAGGCAAATTTCATGTGACAAAAGGTTGTGGCCCACTCAAAGTTAAAACATGTTACCTTTAATTATTATTATTATTTGAGCTGGCCCAACTTATTCTAGAAGTACGATCAAATTTTTTCAAAAGCCTACTAATTTAGACTTTAAAAAAGTATAATTTTGGTTGGCCTTCTAGAATAATCTGGGTATGGACAGCTTATTTTGAAAGCCAGCAAAAGAACTTAGCCCTACAGCCAGCCATCGAAGGCCAACATGAACCCATGATTTAACTTAAATGTAGAAGGCAGAAGAATGCAAGCACATTGTAGACATCTAACACCAACAAGATTGCCTAAAAAAACCTAAAGCCAAGAAGCCAAGATTTACCTCAAATGAAAAGGGCAGGAGAATGCATGCAAGCAACATATTAGAGAATGACCAAACAGTATAATATGGTTTACCTAGGGGAATTGATGAAACCAAAGAATTACCTCAGCCGCCAATGAGTGCACTGGGCTTTTTTTTTGCACTATTATCAGTTGCTCCCTTGAAGGCCGCCACCCAGTCAACTCAACCAATATTATTGTTTGTTTGTAAAGAAAAATGAATGCGTGGTGGCAAAGAAATGCAAGAGGCAAAGAAATCTATGAAAGAAAGGGGTATTAAAACTAAAGATGTTAACAATCTACCACCTATTGAAGAAATACATGGACTTGACACCCTGACACATATAGTAGAGGTAAATTCTCTTATGAGATTTTATGAAGGTGACATCCCTTATAATAAATCTGCTAGTCAATGCTTGGATGAATTCGATAATTACATTGTTAAGGAAGAACATTTTAATGCGTATGTTATGAAACAATTGAAACGTAATGCCTACATGATTGATCGCTTGAGTGACTTGATGTTTAGAATTGCTAATGATGTTAAAGGTGTAGGTAAACATGCATCTATGGTCCAACCCAGTTAGAATAAGTTGCTAAATCTCAAAATGATTTGCTCAATGAAATGAATAACAATATGAATGATCATGTCGTTAGAGTAATGACTAGAGGAGGTAGGATGACTCTGGAGCCACTTTATCCTGAAGGTCACCCTAAAAGAATTGAACAAGACTCTCAAAGGATTAATGTTGATGCACATAGTCCATCTAAAAAGAAAAAAGAAAAATGATAGGACTTTGCATACTCCTAGTGAACCCGAAGTAGAAAAACCTTCTGAGGATAGTAATGATGTTTCTATTGTTGGGGAACGTTGCAGAAAATAAAAAAAATTCTACGCTTTCACCAAG